ATATTCGGTATCCCAGATTGCAAGAACACCGTTTGTACACTTTGAACAACAGAAGCATTACTGGATTGGACTGTTACGCTGTATTATATAGTTAGATCGACCTTAGACCAGATTATTAACAATAAATTTCACATACGATAGGATGTAACTAGGAGAGGAGATGCTACTTATCTCTCGTTTACACAATACATTTTCTATGTTGTTATGTAATAAATGATTATATGTGTAAAAACTGGCCAGAGTGGAGGTCAAAATGTCGAACAATAAACAAACATTTAACCATATGTGTGGTTTGATTCAGCCATACAAGGGAGTCCTGTCAACATCAAATATCTCAAATTATCCACGGCACGGCAATATGTTTTCTTTCAAATTTGCCCCGTACCTACCTTCGAATGTGTCGTCAATATAGTTTATTCACTGAATCAAAGCAGTAAACGTCACAACGTCAAATAATGATAGTGACATGTTTGCCACATTAATTAAAACTACTATATCTTAGGGCGTTTTACACAATCTACTTTATGTCTTACCGCAACCAACATTGCGGAGCGTATGTTTTGTAAACACTAGAGCTAGTATAAATTACATTTACTACCTAATATCTCTCTTACGGACTGTAAGGGCAATAATGGAGCTCCATGATCTCGTTCGGTCTCAAAATATTTCGGTTTCCGCATTTTAGCTAAACGCTTAGAAGGACACCTCAAAGTTTTGAAAAAAACTGTTTTTATAAAATAAAAATGCAAATGTTGAGGCAAAAAACGGAGAGAAACCACAAATAAACAACAGCCTAACAAGCTTTGCGACGATGTCACAACATTGTCTGGTGTTACCAACATAAATGTACCCGGAAAATTCAAGCTATACGAACCAATTTAAAATCTATTTTGCATTAAATTTGGCATCAAATTCACTAAATATGACGTAACTGCTTTATGTCAGTGAATAAACTATAGACGGTTTTCGATCTTGGCAACGCTGTAAAGTCAGTCATGCGCAATGTTAGCAACACCCTTTCTTCTCACTTTTCCTATCGTATTCGATCATGTTAGATTGCTGTATAAATTGGTGATAACCGCCATCTTAGCTTTGAAAATTTCTCTTTCTATATCCATGGATATAAATAATTCTTAAGGTTTTCTACTCAGGAAGTATTTAATATTGCTCAATACCCTAATTTGTAATCTGTGAGTTATTAATGTTGCTCACAGGTTCATGATGTTTCCTTCTTTCTCGGATTGCATGTCCCGAAAGAGGATTTCGATATTTGTAAGTGGTTTTTCCTATGATTGAGTTGCGTGGTTTTATAAACGCGTCGTTAGTTTTGACATTTCTAAAATCATTGAACAAAGTTCCAAAATATAACTTATTCGTTTATACGATATCTTTAAAATATTATAAAATATATCCAGTTTTTTATCGTAGTATTTCATTGAATGTTGGAAGTTGTGTATAAAAATGACATAATTAATGTGCCGTCTAGGTTACAGTTTCCATTACTTCTTCACAAAGCATTCGTCGTTTCTCTATCTGGGCGCGGACTAACTTGTCGAATTTTGGTCGCAACAAATTCTGCATCATACATGCAAAGAGAAAATCTATAGCGTCTTCAGAGAAGTAAGACTTATACACAACCCTATGACTCTTAAAAATTTGACAACTTAGCTTTCAAGGCGTTTGGTCCCCATAAGTGGCGGTGTCATCTGGCTGTTAAGCACTATAGAGATATTCTATGGGCATTTCTAAGTGCCGTATCATCAGTCAATAGTCGTTCCTATAATTGACATGGAACAACCGGAATCTAAAAATTCCTCAGCCTTTCTGAAGGAGAGAAAAGACTATGAAAATCAAGAAGGTCATAAAGGCGTCCTACAATTTTATGAACGACTGACGATACGGCCCTTAGAGATCATGTGGACAAACCATTGTAGAGTACCTAAGAAGCAATTTTCGCGCCGTTCGTTACAATACTCCTTACGAAACCTGCCGGAAAGTCATGGAAAATTAAGTAAAGACGGCTTAGGTTTTTGCGTCTTTCAGAGCAGGGAATTTATGTGATATCATTTTTCATATACATAACGCCTAACCTTCAGATTGAATTATGTCGGTCCTTAAGTGTTTCTCATTAATTTATCAGCTTCCCGCCCGATACCGACAGGTGAAACACTTGACATCTGTTTACTGGACCGCACTATGGATATTTAACAGATATTATTGCCACATTGCGGGTGAACTTTATTGCGATTTAGAGTTGCAAGCTAACGGGTCCTCAAAGCCAGACCAGAGCGGTCGGCATGCCATTCCATAGTCATAGTGTGCTGTGTGTTATTCTTTGGTTTATGTTTAGTACCTGCGCATATTTATCGGTACCGCGAAAAGCTTTTTCCTGGGTACTACGTTATCCTCTCGACGGATAGAACGCGGCGAATAAACAATAAGTTGTGAGTGCGTATTGACATAATGTATGCAGATCTCGATTAGAGATTGTTCTTTGCGATATAGAAATGATTTATTCAAATGGGTCTGAATAACAGCTGTTTGGATATCAATGGGGACAGTTAGATTGTATCACCTCCTGGTACCGCCTGATTGCTCGTTGGGTGATGTTTATTGCTGGTGGTCGTCAATGAACACGGCCTGGTCGCTCGTGGTTCTTCTTGATTTCCTTGGTACACCCACATTTACAATAGGGTCATTTTTTCTTGTGCAAAGTGGGTCTCTTGTGATTGCTGGTCATTCGTTTTAGCACGATTTTGTATAGCCTGCGGGCCACAATTTTGCAATTTTTTGTTGACGCAGAATTCAATTCCTTTCCCACCCTTTATCACGCCAGGATGCCCAGCGGTAGCTTTGCCCTTGAGTCAAACTGATTAATCTGTTGAATGTAGAAAAAATATTATTTATTCTTCCAGAGCATACATACCAACTGTGTTGATCATATAGTCATGTAAAATGGAGCTACGATTGTATAGTCGATGGCGTTATCATTCTAATGCCCAGTCGGGTGACTTTCTTTTGTTAACGTACCTTTTCAAGTCTAACCCAATCTCACGATTGCAAATTGTTTGAGATAATCGCTGGAATATCAGTACTTGCTGTTTCACGAAATGGATGTCGTTAAGATTTCGAGGGGACATTTCAATTATTATGGAGCATTAAATGGCTGAAAATTTCAGTTGCCTATCATTCTCGTCATTCGACTTTGCCAAGAATACCGCTGGAATAAGAAAACAATGAGCATGTTGTGTTTGGAAGATATCTGAAAGGTGTCAAACTTACATTTTTTATTCGCGAAAGAAGAACGTGTTTGTGTTCGTTTTTGCTGTACTGTATGACCCTAATTTATTAAAAAAAAAAACGGCTGCATTCTGAAACACCGTATATGCTAAAACCGCCGCTAGATACAATAGCATATATTATAGTGATATATAGGCCTTTTCACGCTTTTTGGTGAGTCGTAGTGGAAGTTTCTCTCTCTCTCACACGTGCATATGTAATCGTCCTCTATGCGGAACGTCTGTGTTAGCTCAAAGATATACGTTTTTCTTTTTGTCTCACCGCCATGAAAGTTTTCTCGCAACATATGTTCCACATCTATATGCTTTTCACTGTCAGTATGAGAATTTGCTTGTCATGGGGGGCATGTGGTGACTTGTGTTTATCCACGTTGATTTTCAATATAGAACACAGTATTGCCAATACAATGTTGACAGTCTGTATTTGAAGTATTATCTGAACGTTAGTGAAAACAGTGGTCTATCGCCAAAATCGTGTAGGTAAGAGCGAGTAGTAGCTGCCCTACGGATCGGCTTGCGCAATATGCAGTTTCCCTCAGGAAACTAGGCACATGGAACCACCAGTAAATCTTTTTAACGTATTTTGTTTGAAATTATGACATAACTCCCAAAGCCGTGAAAAGACTATAATGATATCACGCATGTAGGACATTTCATAGTCTTGTTTCGTCCGTACGTCTCCCTTCCCTGTGGTTTGCGTGGTTCCTTTGTCCTGATCTTCCTTTCCTATGTTCTTCTGTCGACAATTTATCGATTTCTCACTCTCTTTAGCACTCATTATGTTTCTATCGGTACAATGTATATTTTGAAGCAGCCAGGTCCTTTTGCAGTTCCTTGCTGGCATGTTATCCACTGGTTGTAGCTGGAGATAAGTACTGAGCATAGCGGGCACCACTTGTGTAGAAAGAGTGCGCCACATACCACGTTGCCTGGCAAAACAGTGGTGAAGGCCACAGAACACAACTGTAACTTGCTGCAACGCCTTGTTTTCTACGCTCAAATACACATTTCTGTCGAATCTGTTTGGGATCAATTCCAGATCGATCCTATGCGTTCTCCGATTTTAGGTGGAACTGAAAGTTCAGGATAGATACAAGTTCTGAAACATTGCATTATTGGTTTGACTGTGGAAGCAGTTTATAGATAATGAAAAAATATATAATATTTATTTATATACGTATACAAAGATACAGTTTTAAATAAATTAAGAACAACAAATGAACCCTACTTCATCGATTTCTTCGTTCTTGGAGCGTCTAACGATATTTTTTTTAAGTTGTCGGTTCACTGTTTACCAACTTTCTGACGTTTGCGAATAAACCTAACCTCACTTATGCTATTCTATACATTGTCTTTATCATTGTATACATTGTATTCATTGTATGCGCAATGTATACATTGTATTCATTGTAGACATATAGCTGGCTGTATATTTCACCTCCCGATTCCCTAGCATACCTTATTTGAGGCATCTGTCAAATCGATTTAAAGACGTAGAGCTTGCAGTACACAAAAAAATACAGTCAAGCGCTGTGTACGTATAGGTAATCCTATAAATTACACATTCTTTAATGGACATAGGGACTAAGTAGCTGCTCTTTTATGTTCATTCAGGCTCATTTTACGGAAGTCAAATCAGTAACTATAAGTTTGTATCATTGTTGTTCCACAATACAAGTATTAAATCTTTTTTAGGTAGTGTTAGTTATCGTTAGTAGAGGCTGTCAAGCCGCCATCTTGAATAATATAATAATAATGATAATAATTATGACAATAATAATCATTATATTTATTGGTCTAACTACAAAGTTTTCATATAAATAATAACGGCAGTGTCCAATAAACGTAATATACCCAAAAAAGTGTACACTTGTGCACGGGTTTTAACCGAACTTGAATTATATTAATACAACAAATTTCCTATAAGTATACTGGTCAAATGTACAAATTTGCATCATTTTAGTATCAAATAATAAATATATTGGTTTTTAATGTCTACAAACTTATAGATTTGTAGCCTTGGTTGTTTTAGGATCTATAACTTTTATTCAATTTTTAAACGATTGAGCATAGAAAATAGAATGATCTTTGGCTGATAGTTTTATTTAGTCTAGGAATTAGGGCAGATGTTTCATTGAATCGCGTTTTATTGGTTGTGGCTGATAGAATGTAACAATTTTAGATTTTTTGTTAAATATATTACTATATAGGCATAGATCATTCAACTTATTATTTAAAAATAAATAGTAAGACCAGAAAACGCAAGCCGTGGATGACTGAAGGTATTCTTACTTCGATCAAGAAGAGAGATGAGTTGAAACAGAGTTTGACGAAAGATAATGATAATTTGGTATTGAGACAGTCCTATATCTCCTACAAAAATCAATATTATACACAAAAACTCATTTTAGCTGGTAATAACTATAGGAAGAGCTGGGATGTTATTAATGAGGTAACTAATGCTGGCAAAATAAAAAAAAATGACGTAAAATCAATTAACCACAATAATCAGCAGCTGGACACTCCCACTGATATAGCCTGTGTTTTTAATAAATATTTTGTTGATATAGGTGAGCAAATAACAAGTCAGATTGATCAAAACTCAATTTTTGATACATCAGATCCTCATGTCATCAACATTGCTCACTCTATGTTTCTAACTCCAGTGGATAACATAGAGTTACAACAAATAGTTTGTAATCTGAAAAATAATAGCGCACCCGGAAAAGATGGCTTACACACTAGAACTATCAAGATGATCATGAAGTATATCAGTCACCCTATAACTCACATTATCAACCTCTGTTTCAAATCCTCAGTAATTCCTCGCCAATTTAAAGAAAGCATAGTGACACCAATATTTAAATCTGGAAGTAAAGACAATATGTTCAATTATAGACCTATTTCAGTTATCAATGTATTTGGGAAGATTTTTGAGAAGTGTTTGAATAACAGACTTTGTTCTTTTCTTGAGAAATATGACATAATATCGAACTGTCAATTTGGATTCCGCAAAAATTGCAATACAGAGCAATCTCTACAAGAACTTACAGGACAAGTGCTTGAAAATTTTCAAGATGGAAATAAGACTGTTGCAGTTTTCCTAGATCTTCAAAAGGCTTTCGATTCAGTATCTCATACAATTTTATTAAAGAAACTAGAAAGTGTTGGAGTGCGTAGTGGAGTTCTGAACTTATTTGAGAACTATTTGGCTGATCGATTACAACAAGTTAAGGTAGGGTCAGATTTAAGCAACATTCAAAAGATCAAAATAGGTGTGCCTCAGGGGACAGTTTTGGGACCAACACTGTTCCTCATATACATAAATGAACTACTTCGATGTAATTTCAACTGTAAGATGATATCATATGCAGACGATACTGTTTTAGTTTGCACTGGTCATTCATGGGATGACGCAATACGGAATGCCGAGTTGTCATTAAATAAAGTCAAATGCTGGTTGGATAACAATTTACTTAAACTGAATATCTCTAAAACTAAGTATGTAACGTTTTCTCCAACCAAAGCAGGCATGCCATTACACCACCGAACATTAATTATAAATGATAGTGCTGACACTGTCGAAAGAGTTGAAGTTATTAGATACTTAGGAATCATTGTTGACAGTAATTTAAAATGGCAGAGTCATGCCGAGCTTTTGGCATCGAAATTAAGGAGAATTATTCATAAGTTTTTCATTCTTAGGAATATTTTAAGCAGAAAGAGTCTTCTCTCAATATATAACTCGTTTGTGGGGTCTCTACTAACTTACGGGATAAGTATTTGGGGAGCCGCATACACTAGTACTTTAAAAATACTACAAACCACGCAAAATTATATTGTCAGGACTATTTTTCGTATCCCATGTAGGTCAAGTTGCAGATTTGTTTACATTGAAAATGATCTTTTGAATGTTAGAGGTTTATATATTTTTGCTGCTCTAAAATTTGTTCACTCCCGAAACAATGTTCCAACCAGCCACGCTTATGAAACAAGAACTAAAATAAATATAAGTTACACCTATACCAGAGTGAATAGATCTGTTTGCCAAAAATGCATAATGTTTGATGGTATTAGGTTGTATAATAAATTACCGCTAGAATATAAAATCCTCTCGAAGTATAGTTTCAAAAAAAGAATTAAGAAGTTCATCTTAAATAACTTTGACATGCTTGCATCGACGGTAGCTTGACTCAACTCAGTAATTTCGTTTCTATCTAATGTTTTTTTTTTATTTATTTTTTTTATATACATTTGCTCATAATATACCTTATGACCATTAGCCATGCATTGAATTTGTATATTGTATGACACACACAAGCTTATAGCTTAGGTGTCTATTATTTTGTAGTAAATTCTTTTGTAGTAAATTGTAGTACTCTTGTTTCTCTGCTTAACCTTTACGCAAAATTTTTATTGTTTAAACAAGATAGTTTGACCTTACTCGAAATATCCCTCTATTATCATATTTCAGATATTCATATTTTATGTACTGTATTTATACTTTTGAGTGTTTTTTAGTATGCTTCTGTACTATTGTTATGAATTTTAGATTTGTTTATGCAGAAACGTAATTTAGGATTTGTGACGACAAGATCCAGACATTTACCCTTTACGAAAGTATACAGAATTTTCACAATTCATATACCGTTACTTGCTGGTTCTAGATCTGATGGTAGTATCTTTGCTCAGATTTCTGTTGCAATCTTGGTTATTCAGGGTAGCAAGAGCATACAAGCTCATGTATTTTTGAAGCTTTTTTTTTTCATTTAAATTGTACTGAAGGTTGTTTTTAATTTGTAAGTTATATTGGTTTTTGAATTTGAATAAACTTTGAATAACTTTTGAAAAAAAAAAAAATATGAATAAATTTGCCGACAGTCCAAAAGCTGACATTCACTGTAAAGATTTTCTGTGTTCAACATAACCTTAAAAATCCACTTCTGCGTAATCTCAAACTTTTTATAATAATTATTCATCACTCCCCCCCATGCTAAGATTCCATAAGATAGTCATGATTGAACAAGGGCATGATATATTTTGTGTAGATATTTTTCGCTTAGAAACTGCTGAAATGCTTAATTTTCGGAATAAGGTGTCTTAATTTTCTTATCAAATTTGCAAGGTGTATATTCCATCTTAGAGGGTTATCTTTGAATACCCCTAAGGATTTGAAATTATCAACCGATTTGATGTTTTTGCAGCTATCCAATGTTTTAATTAGGATTTGATTAAAATTTTAGGAAGATCTGTTGTCGCAAGAAAATGTAATAAAGTTTGTTTTATTGAAATTGACTGTTAAAATTCTTTCCTTGAAAAAATTTGTAACCTTTTAAGAATATAATACAATTTTGTTTTTTAAAGAAGCCCAATCTTTGTCTGAGTAAGTTACTGCCGTATCATTTGTGGAACCAATAATTTAATTAAAATGATCTTTAATACGACAAATTAAACGCATTGGGCCTAATACGGTTCCTTGTGAAACTCCGCAATAGTGTACTGTACAGGGCACACATAGTTACTGCCCTCCAAATAACTTTTCATAATCCTAAATTTTGCATGGTTTTTAATAATTGATGCGTAATGCTATCGAATGCTTTGGCCAAGTTTACAAATGCATGCTTTTCACTTATTATTATCAAAGTACTTGTGAATTTTGGTTGTTAACTGAATAAGTGTATCTTTGAGTTGACTTTGCTTCCGGGAATCGATATTGCTGTTCAGATATGGGGTTGTATTTTGCAATAAAATCTAAAAGGCGTTTTTTAAGAATGTTTTCGAATATTTTTGAAAAGTTTGGTAATGTTCATAGATGTTTTTATTGTGGGTCAAACAGGTAAGATACACTGGTTTGACCCGACTATAAAACTGCCTACTAATAGGGGAATTAGGAGAAAACACCCGTGGCCCGGTTGCTTCACAATCTCGATACTCTAGGAATGAAGAGTCTTCTCTAGGGGCTAACTCTAGATGTACGGAGGTCGACATAGTCAGTACGGGAAGCGGAAGTCTGCCGGGTTCGTCTAGTAGGCCTAACACGTGGCGGCGTATCGGTGGAAGGAGACATTGGGGTCGGAGCGGCAGACCCCACATATGTGAGTAGTAGTTTAGCCTGGCTAAGGAAGTTATTTGGGGAAAAGTGCTTCTAGCTTTAAACAGCTGCCATGTTTGGTCAGACGTGCGCGTGTCAAGTCCTTGATGATCTGAATCACGACAAGCTGTAGTATATTGCAAAGGTACAAGGTTGTCGATGTGGAAGTTATAAATACTATAACCTGTATGTACAACCAAGCAAATTTGCATCCGTTGCATAAGATCCCAGACTAAAAACAATTTCATCCTGGTATCTGTTTGAAGAAATTGCTGTCATTAGCAATTGCAGGACTCTATTCAGGTGGCATCCAGCAAATATGTAAGAACACATACGATTGCAGCTGTAACAGACCACCGATATGCATTGTCGATATACCGACTGCTAATTTCAGAAATACTCTGCGGAATACATTATCGTAATTACAATGAGCAAATGGAATGTGCCGTAAGAACAGCAGTACCGGGTACTACTTCCTTTAGGATCGCTGTTGATTTTTTCGCTTTAATTATTCATTAGCGAGGTGGACAGTACTACCTTGCCATGCAGTGGCATTGTGTCCATGCACCATGGCGGTACCAAGTACTGTTATATATAGACACACACACGGCACTCGCATATAAGAAGATATGCATATGTGGAGACGCCAGCCATGCCAGTCTAGGAGTCGTACTACTTGTGGTACTACGGTGCCAAAGGCAGAGACACAGATGCCCAGATAAAACGTTATTTATTCGTTGTGTTGCATTGCAGCGGGGATTCTATTTTGAATGAAAAATTGTCGTTGCAGAACCAGTTGTTTGGATTTAGCTTTGATTTAGGTTAGAATTATAAATGACCGAACCTCCTGTAGGTTGTTGATGTTTATAACCTTTGAGCTTGGTGTCGTTAAAAAATTATGTTGATTTTTATCATCTAATGTAGTAGTATGTCCTAAAAGTTTTGGCATTCGGACTTTTCTTAATGAAGAAATTTATTCAAACATTAACTAGTTATCATAAATTACAACTGAACTATACTATCGAATTAGGCGGAGTGGTCAATTCTGCTCTACCAGATGCAACTTCCTTCGAATGTCTCTCATGAGGTCCTGGACGGAATTCAGATCAATTTCGTAAATTCGCCGTCTTAATTGTTTTTCATCTTCGGAATCCCAGCTCCGATGTTAAACCTGTCTATGCAGTAACATGATATGGTCATTAGCATAATGTTCGTGGGCAAACTGAAGCAATTTGGAAAGACAGTTATCAATATAGCTCTGACTATTCAAATCTTCACCCCAAAGGTTGGGATACACCACTGTTAGAAATTGCGCATTAGACAAGGATTTTATCTGCAAATTTCTCTATGTTTTCCGTATAAAATCCGTCGTTTCCCTTCATTTCATAATTACTCAAAGTGAAAGACATATCGTCATCTAAAATGATGATTTTTCCATTGACCTCAGTTAACGACAGCATCTTCATCTTGGTATACGAAGGGGTTGCGCTTGAGAGTATTTGGGAGACTTTAATCTCTTTGGACGTTTAAGACCATTTCTCCTCAATTCCAACGATATCGTTTGAAGATCTGTATTGGCGAGCCAGTCTCCTTGTTGGCATTTCAACCTGACTTTTTGCTCTTCACACCAATCTCTCTGACCTCTGTACGGTAAATCCACGTGGTCTTCTACTTTTTGGGATATTCAGACATGGTATTTCCCTATTCGCACTCGGCTATTGTTCGATAAATGGTTATGCGTGAAATGTTTTCATTCTGGAATGTCCGACAGATTTCTGCTTTGCCCAACTAACTTGTAGATACTTTTTCTTATTTCTAGTTTATATGACATGTTAAAGCGAAAACTTCAAAATAAATTAACATCAACTGATA